TGGGTTCAGGCAATTCTCCTGCCTCAGCCTCCTGAGTAGCTGGGATTGCAGGCACGCGCCACCATGCCCAGCTGATTTTTTGTATTTTTAGTAGAGACGGGGTTTCACCACGTTGACCAGGATGGTCTCGATCACTTGACCTCGTGATCCACCCGCCTCGGCCTCCCAAAGTGCTGGGATTACAGGCTTGAGCCACCGCGCCCGGCCTCTAAAATGATTTTTTGTGAGGATTGCACAACTTTATGGTCACTCTAAATCCAATGAATTGTAGACCTTAAATGGATAAATTGCATGGTATGTGAATTATCTCAATAAAGTTGTCAAATATGCAGAAAAAGGTAAACTGAGTCTATGAACAGTGGTTCTCCAACTTCACTATCCCTAAGAATCACCTGGAGTTCTTTTAAAAATGCACGGTCCTGGGTCATTCCACCCCAGACTTCTGACTCAGAGGATCTGGAGAGAGACCCAAGAGTCTACACTTCTAACCAGTAGCCCCAATTGATTCTGATGCTCTGGGAACACTGATGGATGCTATGTGCTCTATCCAGGGAGTCTGTGATTTCTAGTTTACAGAGTGAATTCTTCATCAGCCACTCCAGGAACAGGGATGGACGTGTCTTAGGTAGTTCCAGGCTGGATCAGTCTCTCTTCTGGATTCTTCCCTAAACTTTTAGCAATTTACGTTCCAAGAGTAAAGGTTTTAGAGGCTTTTGTTGTTGTTTTTGAGACAGAGTTTCCCACTTATTGCCCAGTCTAGAGTGCAATGGTGTGATCTCGGCTCACCGCAACCTCCACCTCCTGGGTTCAAGTGATTCTCTTGCCTCAGCCTCCCAAGTAGCTGGGGTTACAGGCATGTACCACCACACCTGGCTAATTTTGGATTTTTTGTACAGACAGGGTTTCTCCATGTTGGTGAGGTGGGTCTCAAACTCCTGACCTCAGATGATACACCCACCTCAGCCTCCCGAAGTGCTGGGATTACAGGCGTGAGCCACCTCACCCAGCCTAGAGGCAGTTATTCTTCCACTCAATCAATGTTCACTGGATAAACCGACTTTTAAAAAGTGAAGTAGAGGCTGGGCACAAAGTGGCTCAAGCCTGTAATCCCAGCACTTTGGGAGGTTGAGGCAGACAGATCGCCTGAGGTCAGGAGTTCCAGACCAGCCTGGCCAATATGGTAAAACCCCATCTCTACTAAAAATACAAAAATTAGCCAGTGTAGCGGCATGGGCCTGTAGTCCTGGCTACTCGAGAGGCTGAGTTAGGAGAACTGCTTGAACCCAGGAGATGGAAGTTGCAGTGAGCAGAGATTATACCACTGCACTGCAGTCTGGGCAACAGAGCCAGACTCCATCTCAAAAAATAAAAAATGAAGTAGAAATGAATGTAAAAGATTAAAAGTCTTAACAGTTACCTTACTATACCCTAGCCGGGCGCGGTGGCTCACGCTTGTAATCCCAGCACTTTGGGAGGCTGAGGCGGGTGGATCACAAGGTCAAGAGATCGAGACCATCCTGGTCAACATGGTGAAACCCCGTCTCCACTAAAAATGCAAAGAAGTCAGCTGGGCATGGTGGCACGTGCCTGTAATCCCAGCTACTCAGGAGGCTGAGGCAGGAGAATTGCCTGAACCCAGGAGGCGGAGGCTGCGGCGAGCGGAGATCGCGCCATTGCACTCCAGCCTGGGTAACAAGAGCGAAACTCTGTCTCAAAAAAAAAAACAACAGTTACCTTACTATACTCATATTATATGCTCCACCAACTCTGTAATCTGGTGGTTGGATATATATATTTTTTTTTTTTTTTTTTTTTTTTGAGACGGAGTTTCGCTCTTGTTACCCAGGCTGGAGTGCAATGGCGCGATCTCGGCTCACCGCATCCTCCGTCTCCTGGGCTCAGGCAATTCTCCTGCCTCAGCCTCCTGAGTAGCTGGGATTACAGGCACGCGCCACCATGCCCAGCTCATTTTTTTGTATTTTTAGTAGAGACGGGGTTTCACCATGTTGACCAGGATGGTCTCGATCTCTTGACCTCGTGATCCACCCGCCTCGGCCTCCCAAAGTGCTGGGATTACAGGCTTGAGCCACCGCGCCCGGCTGGATATATTTTTTTAATTAAAAAAAAATTTTTTTTGAAACATGGTCTCACTTTGTCACCCAGGCCGCAGTGCATGATCTCGACTCACTGCAGCCTCAACCTCCTGAGTTCAAGAGATCTTCCTGCCTCAGATCCCCCAAGTAGCCTAGACTACAGGCGCTGGCCAGCATGCCTGGCTAATTTTTGTATTTTTAGTAGAGATGGGGTTTCACCATGTTGGCCAGGCTAGTCTCGAAACCCTAAGCTCAGGTGATCTGCCTGCCTCGGCCTCCCAAGGTGCCGCGATTACAGGCATGAGCCACCGCACCTGGCTGGTGACTGGATATTACTTTGGGTCCCCAGTCAACATTCATCCTAACCAGCTGTCATGATGTTGGTAGCAAAGGAGACCCAGCAGCATAAAGATGGCTCAGCGTAAACCCAAGACCAACGATCACGCATGTCAGGAACTGGCGGGAGTCTCCCGTACCAGCAGGTCTGTGGGAAGCAGGCTAACAGCCTCCCAAAGATGTCCAGGTCCTGATCCCTGGAACCTGTGAGTATGTTAACTTATTCAGTAAAGGGGAACTAAGGTTGCAGAAGAATTAAAGTTGTTCACCAGATTATCCTGGTGGGTCCAATGTAATCACTGGGGTCCTTAAAAGTGATTATATTTTTAAGATCACTTTTAAAAATGAAGAGGGAACACATACGAGTGAGGGAGAGATGTAAGAATGGAGGCAGGTCCAAGAGTTAAGATGCTGCGGGCTGTTCAGATGGAGGAAGGGGTCACAGGCCAAAGAATGCACGTCGCCTCTAGAAGCTGGGAAAGGCAAGTAAATTAATTCTCTCCCAGAACCCTGAGCAAGGAATGCAACTCTGACCACACTTTGATTTTAACTCAGTGAGACCCATGTCAGACTTCTGATTTCTAGATCTGGAAGATAAATTTGTGTCGTTTTAAGCCACCATATTTGTTAGGACAGCGACAGGAAACTAGTACAAAAACCTAGTGATGAGGTTCTGAAAGCCAGGAACCCTGCCTGGTGCCTCACGGTGGACCCACAGAATCATCTTCATATGCACGGGAGGAAAGCATCATCAGTGTCCACCAGCACTGGCGTCCTTATCCACGAGTACAATTCCCTTGCCTTCCCCATTAGGTTTCATCTGCGTAATGGAAATAGCGGTGAATTTAGCAGGTGTTGTTAATAGCTGATAGAAAAGGGTGAAGTCACTGCCAAAGTTCCCAGGCCATATGGACAGCTGCTCCCCAATAATCACTGTTCCACGCAGTCCATGGGGGGGCTGCCATTGACCCCCCGACAGGATGAAGGGACACTTTAGTGTGCAGTACACATCCTTACAGGTAGATTTAAAAAACCGGCAGTGACCCCTGCCCCAAGAAGGCCATGAACTGCTACACTACGGTGTGAAACGCTCAGCTTCCCCACAATGGGAGCCGCAGTCATGGCAGCTCCTTCCCCTCATCACCAAGGCTCAGAATCTTTTACTCCTCCCTTACCCAATGCAATTGCCATCAAACGCGGCCTGTGCTGCACCCAAATGGCTCCAGCTCCCTCGCTCTCTCCTCTCCCATGAATACTCCCACAACCTGAGGCTCCGAGTGTCTCCCTCGCCCCAATATCTCACAGCTCCAACTCGCTGCCGTCCCTGCAGGGCGCCCCCCGAGCTGCACCCGTGGGACAGGGCCGGGGTGGGGGGGTAAGGGGCATCGGGAAGGCAGCACTGGGTGGGGCGGACGCCGCCAAGGGCCGGCGGGCGAGTGCCGGGCTCCTTGGTGGGGTGGTGTTGGGGCTTTGGCCAGGGGAAGCAGGGAGGGGCGAGGATCAGGGAGGAAATCGCGGCAGACACCACAAGAGGCGGCCTGAGCGCCAGGACGCGGACCCCTCTTCAGCACCCTCAGCCCTCGGGACCCCCGGGAGAGCCGGGCCAGGGACGTGTCCACGCCGGGGACGTGGGACCCTCCCCGCCCGCTGGGGCCCGTCCTCACCGACGGCAGCCGGCCCTCCCTCTCCAGCGACAGCGCCACGACGGGTCCCTCAGCCTCTGCGCCGAGGGCCCCCGCCTCAGCTCGCGCCGTCACCTCAGGCCGGGGTCACGGCGTGAGCATGCGCAGCAAGGCTGCGGGGGGCCGCTCTTCAGGCTGGGGCAGCTCCTCCAGGTTTTGCCCCTGCGGCGTAGAGCAGGGCGTTTGCCCAATCGGAGGGCGGAGGCGGGGCCAGGCTTCCATAAGTGGGCGGGAACACCACGGATTGGGTGTCGCCATCCGGGGACGGAGTCTCGGAGGATCTGCGGCCTGGGTTGGCTCTGGTCGAGGTTCTGCCAGCACCAGTGGGGTGGGCTTCAGTGCGACCCCGGTCTTCCTCATGGATTTGACTCCGGCTCCCTACGGGGAAACTGGAGCATTTGTTTAAAGGTTTTGTTCGCCCCCGTCGGGATACTGAGCGTGCGGAGGGAAGGTCTTTAGGCTCATGGAAGCCGCTGCCTTGTGTTCAGCTGTGCATCCTTGAAGACACAACAGACTCATCCGCGCCATTGGTGCAGCCCTCGCCCATTAGTCCCGCCCTCGCTCATTAGTTCAGCGCCTTCTCATCATTTCTCTCTCGTTATTGGTCCAGCCTTGGCCTACAGGCCCCGCCCCTGCCTACAGGCCCCGCCCTTTGCGCCCCATCCACCTTCACCCGGCCCATGGTGCTCCGGTGACGCTCATCCTCCAACCACCCAGTGCTGTGGGACCGGGCTGGCTCCGCGCACAGAGAGCTTCGGGGCGCTGCTTTATTGGGACACTTGATGCAGCTGCCAGAGCTGCCCCAGCACGGCACCCTGGGCTCACCACGGCTCTCCCAGCCCCGCGGTGTCACCTCCCCTCTGCCAGCCCCTTGGCCCCCCAAGTGCTGCTCCGTGCCCGCCCCCCCCCCAAAACAGCCACTGGAGGTGCCCCCGCCCGAGGGATCCAGGATCCAGGTGGAGGTACTCTGGGGCCTCCGCACCCTCCGCCTGCTCTCATCCGAGTGCCAGCTGCGCTGCACGCGCTCCCTCGACCCTGCCCCCCAACCAAGTATGTACTGTAGCTGGTCTCGAGTGCAGATTTAAAAGTTTGCTTGCCTTCGGGAGGCCAAGTCTGCCCCCACAGGTAAATACTTAGAAAAGGGGGGAATATTTTAATAGCCTTTTCAGATAATTGTGGCTATGCTTCTTTGATACTACATCAAAACTCAAGTGATGGGGGGTTTTCTGATTGCCTTTTTTTTTTTTTGAGACGGGTTTTTTTTT